AGAAGATCAGGTACGTCAAGCATCTTTACTTTCCTCACCCACATCTGCTCAAGACACCAAATTGACAGCCTTCTCAGTGGCATGCAAATTGTTTGTTTCTGAAAGACAAGGCCATGCAACAGGAGTGCTCACTCAGGCCCATGGTCCTGGAGGCCGCCAAGGGCCTATTGGATTTTTCTCCTGCCAACTGGATATTGTGGCCAGAGGACGTCCCTCTTGCCTTCGGGCCGTCTTTGCTGCCAGAGAGCTCATTGAAAGAACTGGAGATCTTGTCCTTGGCCACCCCCTGGTTGTCTTGGCCCCCCATGACATTTCTGCCATAGTCAACCAGGTCCAACTTAAGCATGTTACTCCTGCTAGGCATCTTCGCCTTCAATGTCATCTTTTGTTGCCTGACAACATTACCCTCCAAAGATGTCAAGTTCTCAATCCGTCCACTCTTCTGCCACTCCCTGAGGGGGGTGTATACTACGGATTCATCATGGACGAAACTTATGTTTTTCTTCTCACTGGCACCATCAAGAAGGAAATGCATCCCAACCTATCCTTTCATGATGGACAAGCACTCCTTCATGACGGAGCAGGATATGCCTTCTGTACCATGTGGTACAAATCAAACATCACTCCTGAAACCTGCTATGAAGATGAACTCTATCATCTGGTCGAAGTAAAACTCACTGCACAAGACTTCTACTGTGATTCTGAAGGCAACAGTATGGTCTTGATTCATCTACCTCCGGAACTCAAGCATTTGTACCGTCATTGGGACACTGCCATTCCACATGTCCCTGTGACCAAGTTGAAAACAATATCATGGAATGATCTTGGGCCTATGGCAAAAGCATGGGCCACTATGGACGAATCACAGCTACAGGAAAATGGTGTTGTCAAATATCCAACAACTGACCACCTAAAAGCATGGCAGCGTCATTTCCTGGAGAATGAGTTCCAAGATTTAACCATAGTGAATGACTACGACCCAGATACACCTCATGACTGTTTTGAACAGATGAAAATGGAAACAACACATCTACCAACTGTGCATGAAGACCCATTGGTAGATCCCGATCTCACCCTGTTTGTGGATTGCTCAAGATATGCTGATGAAGAAGGGAGATACCATACAGGATATGCCGTAACCACAACAGATGAAATTGTCAAATCATCATCTTTACCATCAACTATGTCTGCACAAGAAGCTGAATTGCAAGCCCTGACTTCAGCATGCAAGATCTCTGAAGGAAAGCGCGCCAATATCTACACGGATTCAAGATATGCACTGGGCGTGGCTCACGACTTCGGATTAATTTGGAAAACAAGAGGATTTCTTACCACCGCCGGTACACCAATCAAGCACGGTTCCGCAATCAAGGAGCTGATGGACACCCTCCTACTCCCAGAAGAAGTGGCTATTTTGAAGATAAAAGCACATGGGAAGTTGGACTCAGATGAAGCAAGGGGCAACCATCTAGCTGATCAGGCTGCAAAACAAGCTGCAAAAGAACCACAGGAAGTGGAAAGAAGAGTGTCCGGAAATGAAGAAACTCCCATATTTACTCTGCAGACTCTTCCAACTGACCTAAAAATCCTGCGGGAACAACAGGCTACAGTTGCCCCTGAAGAAATACAGAAGTGGAAACAGAAAGGGGCAGTTCTGAAGGATGGAGTGTACTCCAACAACCTCAAGTTCTGCCTCCCTAAGAATTTGTACCCAGCAGTTGTACAATGGGCACACGGACCTGCACATTTATCAAAGGATCTAATGAATGCTCTTGTACAAAAATACTACCTCATTGTCCCTATATGAGATTCTATTTGGGACTGCACCTAGGCTAGGTTGCTATTTTCCTCAACAACTACAACTTCAAACTGATGTCTTAGTAGATTATGTAACTGAACTCGCAAACGCCTTAAACAAAATCCATGCCCAAGTTTTCTCTTCAATTCCAGATCCTGATTCTGACACAGGCAACCACAGTCTGCTCCCCGATGACTGGGTTCTGGTCAAGAAATTTGTGCGAAAACAGTAAATGTCCGTTCCAAGTTCTCCTGATCTCCCCTACCTCTGTCAAATTGGCCGGAAGGCCTAACTGGATCCACGCTTCCCATTGCAAGAAGACACCTGCCCCAGAGGAAGCTAACTCTATGCAACCATGTGCCTCTGGTACATTATCTCCTTAGTTGGCCTCCTTAAAGCCCAGCAGGTGGCCATCACCAAAGATGCTAGTGGGTACACCTTCTGGTATAATTCATCATGTACCCGTGTGGCTACTTATACTTTTGACTACTGTGACATCGTAGAATGCCCATTCCCCACGTCACAGATTCAGAATATCTATAGAGATATCCCTCATTCAAAAGACCCCTATGTTTGTGTAGTTGACAAACAATGGGGGCACAACTGTAACCATTGGGGGGCGGCGGGATGGAATGCCGGGCCTGCCTGGGGTTACAAACCAAAAAGTGTCTTATCTAAAATTGATGATCACGGTAGGTCCCTCCTCCAGAGAATGACTCTGAGAAAGCCCGGAGGAGGCATACCTATGAAATTAATCTTAAACATTGAGCATCCCAGCCCAACGGATGCAGACCAGTATGTAATGGGAATGTACTGGAAGAAGGGTTCCTATAATAAATTAGGACATTTCCACCTTAAAGATATGTGCCACTCTCCTGAGTGGAAAGGGACCACCCACATGGTCTCAAATCCGTTGAAACCACACATCCAATCTTTTAAAGACATGATGGCCATTGCAAATCCAACATTTGAAGATACCATGGCCGCTGAAACAGGTTTCAATGATGTTAATCTATGGTTAGAATGGATGAAATATAATGCCAACAAACATAACAGAACCGCATGCTATGTGTGTGGTGGTGCCCGGCCGCACCTGGGCACTGTGCCTTTAACTTTGCCAGTAGATATAGAAGTTTTTTTGCCTATCACTACAATTTCAATAGGTCCATATGTAAAGCATGGACAGTAGAGTATCCTCTTCTAGTCAAAGATTGCAAACCCCCAGATGGTGTTACCGTCTATAAAGGTAATTATACCTGTTATGCTAATTATGATGGAATTGGTAAATTTGTGGGTAACTTCTCTAAAGGTTATTGTGCCACCTACAGAACTGTCTCTATGAACCTCCTACAATTCCACACTAGATCATTGGGGGATATTTACTGGTTGTGTGGGGATCTACAGCTGAGATCAAGAATGGATAAAGAATGGTGGGGGGAGTGTACTCTGGCTAAAGCAATCATGCCCATACATATTATCTCTGACACACACCCCGATACTCATGAGTCCAAACACTCACCAACCAAGGTAAAGCGTGAAGCCCCAGTAAAAGGCAGTTTTGACCCTCATATTTACATTGATGCCATTGGGGTACCTAGGGGGGTGCCCAATGAGTTTAAAGCCAGGGATGAAGTTGCTGCAGGATTTGAATCACTTTTTACCATAGTCACTGCAAACAAGAATTTAAATTGGATAAATTACATCTACTACAACCAACAACGGTTTGTTAATTACACCAGGGATGCCCTTCAGGGTTTGGCCGAACAGTTGCAGGCTACGTCCCAAATGTCATTCCAAAATAGAATGGCTTTAGATATGATTCTAGCAGAAAAAGGAGGGGTATGTAAAATTCTGCCTGACACCATGACATGTTGTACTTACATCCCAGAAAACACAGGCCCCAATGGTAAAGTAACCTTAGCTATAGGAAAATTGAAAGAGCTCTCTGAGGAGCTAAAGAGGAACTCTGGGATAAAAAGATCCCTGGGAGAGATGGTTTGGTTGGATGACAGGATGGCAAAAAGCTTTGATGCATATTGGTATAGCAATACTAATTTTCCTTTTTATCTTTGCTCTTCTCGTTTGTTGTGTCCTCCCTTGTCTGAGAAAGCTCCTCTTGAAGACTGTAGACCAAGCGGCACCCACTTACGCACACCTCACAGTTGATGACCAAGATTTCCAAAAAGTCAACTCGCCCTGTATACCGCTACAATCTATCCCGTTTATTGATAAAGTGCAAGAGTTCTAGGAAGGGACCAGCTTAGGGACAGCATCTGTCTGTCTGGGAAGTCTACCGTGCGGAGATGTGGTGGGTTAGCCACCTCGGGATACCCATGGAGTGAAGTGTTCGAGTGCCCAGCGGACAGATGAGTTAGCCAATTAGGGACAGACGAAGGGACAGCTTTGCACTTTGCAATAACACCTAGCTAGCGGGTCACGGGGTTTCTGTGCCTTTGGGCTAACACGTCTTCTGATACTAACAAATAAAGATTATCTTTTAGAATCTAACATTTCATAGGGGGGACTGATGTAGAATTATTAAAATCTTTATTAGAACCTGTATTGAATTATTGTACTAACTCCATTTTGTTCACCTTACATGACAGAATTTCCTGACAGTATTCAGTATAATGAATAAGAGATTGTATTTTCTCTCTCTAAGGACATAACTAGCCCCGGAGTTAGCGGATCTCCGTTGACTTGCAACATAGTATAATCCAAGGCCAGGAGAACAGTGACAAAATGAAATGTTCTATTCATAAAAGAACCTTGGAACAGACCACGAGACTGACATCACTAACTACGTAAAATGACGCCCAAGCCCCCCTTTCCACCGAGTAAGCCTCGTGCTAAAGAGCAATGGCGACGACATCCCATGATGGGAGGGTGCCTCACTAGTCACTCAAATCTCTGAGCCAATTAATAATATTAATGGGTGGACACTGACATAGCCACTTAACATTTAACCCAATTAATGATGTTTATTTGTTATTATCTGATATTCAATGATGATGTCATTTTGCATATAAAAAGGCCTGCGTGCCCACTTTTTAACTAGATGCTAATAAATTTCCTGAAGTGCTTTTAACCTGAACTGCATGTGTCAGTGTGAACTTACTTCTGCGTATACGCAATTTATTCATCTCAGATTTGGACAGGAACAGATAGACTTTTAAACATTTTTGTTTATTTCTAAATTAATCCACATCACTGTCACATATAGAGGCATTGTTAATTTTCAAAATCACTAGGGACTGGATCCCAAAGTTAACCTCGGTTATCCCAAGAGTGAGATATCAGGCAGCAAAGGAACAGTTGGATATAGACTTTCATGTCTTGGAAGCAGGACAAATGGGCAATATAAATTCAGCATTCCAATATACATTCTGAAGTTATGAATCCATTCCAGGAGTTTCTCCTGCAGAATCTGCCTGTTCTCGATCTGTCATTTGACCAGCATTGGTATTGTCACTTTTCTCACTATTTTCAATGACTCTCTGAAACAGAGAACAATATTAAGAAAGAAAGAGAAATATTAAAAAAATAAATCAATGGATCATACATTTATAACATTTTAAAACTAATGAAGAGGCGTAACATAGGTATGCAATACTCTGGAACATTTTAATGACAAGGTTAAAATTTGGCTATAATGTTAAATTTGAACAAATAATTGTGCGGACTAAAATATTCATAGTTGCTCTACTATTAGGATCACGTGTTTGCCTGTGTTACATTTTTAGAAAATTGATCTAATGAAATAGTTAAATGTACTTTTGATACTGTAAAAATACTCTGAACACCAAACCAACTTTAGCAAAATTAAGCAGTTTTGTGTATAGATCATGTCTCTGTAATGTCACTGCTAAATTCGTTATGACTTTTACCCCTTAAGGACTGAGCCAAATGTACACATTGTGTAAACAAAAACTTGAATTTGCACTATATGTCTGTTCAGGCGTAACTCGCCTTTTTCATATTATGTGCACCCACACTTATTATATATCAGTTTATTCAGGGGAAACAGGGCTTTCATTTAACATCAAATATTTAGCTATGAAACATAACTTAATATGAATAAAATCTTTAAAAAATGGGAGAAAATAAGAATTTTGTAAAAATCTTTTAGTTCTACCTGACATTCTAACTGTGAATGTCATAATACTGTTTGCTTTTACTGCAATAAAATACACATATTTGTATTCAGCGATGTCTCTCATGTAAAACAATACCCCTTATGTACAGGTTTTATGGTGTTTTGGGAAGTTACAGGGTCAAATATAGCATGTTACATTTTTCAGTTTTTCCACATTGAAATTCGCCAGATTGGTTACGTCGTCTTTGAGACCATATGGTAGCCTAGGAATGAGAATTACCCCCATGATGGTATACCATTTGCAAAAGTAGACAACCCAAGGTTTGCAAATGGGGTATGTCCAGTTAGTCTTTTTTAGTAGCCACTTGGTCACAAACATTGGCCAAAGTTAGTGTTAATATTTGTTTGTGTTGGAAAAATACAGAAAACTAATTTGAACACCAATTTTGGCCAGTGTTTGTGACTAAGTGGCTACTAAAAAGTCTGGACATACCCCATTTGCAATACCTTGGGTTGTCTACTAGTGCAAATGGTATGCCATCATGGGTGTAATTTTCATTCTTGGGCTACCATGTGGTCACAAAGGCAACAAAACCAATCTGGCGAATTTCAATGTGAAAAAACTGAAACGCAAGCCTTATATTTGACTCTGTAACTTTTGAAAACACCATAAAACCTGTACATGAGGGGTACTATTATACTCAGGAGAGTTCACTGAACAGAAATATTAGTTTTTCAAAACAGTAAAACATATCACAACAATTATATCGTTCGTGTAAGTGCCATTTGTGTGGGAAAAATTCAACAAATTTCACTTTCACTGGCGATATCATCATTGTAATACATTTTACTGTTTTGAAACACTAATATTTGTGTTCAGCGAAGTCTTCCGAGTAAAACAGTACCTCCCATGTACAGGTTTTATGGGGTCTTGGAAAGTTACAGGGTTAAATATAGCGCTAGCAATTTAAATTCCCTGGACTTGTCAGGTAGGTCCCACAATATATATAAAAAAAATTAATTATATTTATTTATATATATAGTGTATATATATAGTGATATATACTTATGTATATAGATATATATATATTATTTCGTTCTACATGTATTTTGTTATCGATATATATATATATATATATATATATATATATATATATATTGTGATCCTTGTTTGCAGATATCACGGTCCTCTAGGGTAAACAACAGGCACAGTCCTTTTATTTTCATTTGATCCAGGCACTTTATTTGTAAGTCTACACAGGAGACAGCAGCAAATGAAAACATAAATATAACACAAATCCCTATAAACAAAAACCTAGCTCATCTGAGCACTTACTAACATCAGGTTCCCTATCTCTTAGGGGTTAAACTAGAACAAAACAATATTGGTTTCACCAACCTAGTGTCTTTGTCAGCTCTCTGCACTCCAGTGCTTAGTCAGTCTGTTGCTTTCCTTTCTACATTCCCAGTGCTCCATGTCAGCCTTAACTGCTTTCCTTTCTGCACTCCCAGTGCTCAGTCTCCATGACTCTCTCACTAGAGAGAACAGCCTCTCTCCTACCTGCTTCCAGGGAGGAAGCCAGCAATCCCCCTTTACCTGCCTAGCAGGGAGAGGTTTATTCCCACTGCTACAGCTGATTATCTGCAGCTGAGCAGTGGGTTGGAGACCGTTCCAAAAAACTCTGGCCTGGACCTTATTTCTCCCAGTTGTGTATAAACTGAGGAGTGGCGTATTGGCCCACCTTGCTCTCCAAATGCTCCACCCCAGGGGCCCATAACTAAACAAAGCTTTGTGTTGCACACCACACATACAACACGTACTTCCCCTGGGGTTAAATGTTAAAGGCCTCTCTGCCTACACTTTATCACAATATATTAATTTTAGAATACAGTTAGAACGAATATACACATTTATATTTTATTTATTTTTAAACGTATTAACATTTATTTTATATTATATATAATGATAGTTATATATATTTAATCAATATCATTCTACGTGTATTTTGATATTAATATCTATATATATAATTATATATATTAATATTAAAATACACTTAGACAGTGTATGTGTATTTATGTATATGTGTGTGTGTGTGTATGTATATATATATATATATATATATAAAAACATACTTAGATCATATATATATATATAACTTAATTTTAAACTCTTTTAACATTTTTTTTTTTACAGGCAGCAGGGGGAGTACCTGTCATTTCAGGCACTCCCCCTGCTGGCAACTGCCTTGGACGGCAATGCTGTCCATGTGATCATGAGGTCCTCGCAAGTACCTCGCGTTTACATGGCCCAGGGGGGCCGAAACAGGTGGAGGGGGACTCCTTTGGCTGCCAGGTGAGTCCCCACACCGCGATCGCCGGTGTGGGATCGCCGGTGGCCGGGTAAGTAGAAAGGTCGGAGGCGACGTTCTATGCCACCCCCGTTTTAGAGCTGGGTCCCCAAGGACAGCATAGCACACCCGCCGTCCTCAAGGGATTAAATACCTTTGTTTATGCAACCAAAACCATATCTTCCCTGACATTGATTCACTCGGCCACAACTAAAACATGTTTAACTTTTACAGCCCAGTGTGTTTACGTCAGACGTTCTCATCTGGTGCTCACTTGATTGATCTTTAATTAGAAAGTGTGTAGGGAGGTTGTGTGAGTCACAGTTAGGGTATGTGTAAACAAAACTCTTAAATGCCAGAGAATCAAGCAGTGAGAGTGCAGTGACTTTGTCTATAACCAAAAACTGCATCATTAACATAATGCTTTTTGTAAATGTATTCTTTTGACGTGTTTATCCTTCCATCAACAGCTGCCCAGGACAAGAAGAAAAAAAGAAACAAGTTGCCATTACTACTCTTATATTTAGGTTTTAGTATCGTCCTTTGGATTACATGCTAGACATTATGTGCTCAAATAGTAACCAGTTATGGGTAGTTAGATGCTTGTGCATCCACTCACACCAACATACACCTTTAAGGAAGCAGAATACAATTTCAGGTATTTTATAATCAACATATTTTTTACTGGTTTTGATAGGATGCTGTAGTAATTAAATTGTCATACCTTCAATACCTATGACAGAATTATTTCATGAGCGCTAGTCATATTAACAATACGTTTTCTTTTCAAATACTTTTTCTTTTAAACCATGACAGTAAAGTTGACTTAAGAATAGCTCCTTCCAGGGCCGGATTAACATAGGGGCTGATGGAGCTGCAGCTCCAGGCCCAGGCCCAGGCCCATGGAATAGGCCCATTGATTTAAAAAAAAAATTTTTTTTACATTTTTTTTTTCACACACTACTCTTAGGTATTCCACCTGGCTTTTATTTTATTGGCACAGCCAGTATTTGAGGCTGCCTGGCTGGTGCCAATATTACAGTGATACTGGCAATACAAATGCTGGTATTTTTCTCAGTATAAACAAGAGATTACTATGCAATACCAGCACTGGCCAGTAGGGGTCACTGTGTGTGAAGACAGGCAGGGATAGGACGTTCCAGCATATCCCTCCCTGCCTATCTATACTCACTGATCTACAGGGGTGCAGCTACAGAGAGTCCAGAAAGCAACTTCCACCCTGCAGAGACAGCCTACAGCTCAGAGAAGTAAGGGATGGGGTGAAAGGCTGCAAGGAGACATGGGGACACTGAGACACTAAGGGACATTGGGAGACATTATGACACAGACCCATGTCTCCCAGTATCCCCATGTCTCCCAGCCAGTGTCCCTGGTGTCTCAGTGCCCCCTAGTCTCCCAGTGCCCCCAGTCTGCCAGTGTCTCACTGTTCCCATGTCTCCTAGTGCCTCCATGTCTCCCGGTACCTCAAGTGTCTCAATGTCCCCATGTTTCCAAGCTAGTGTCCCTAGTGTCTGTGGCCTTTGTGTCTCCTTGTCCCCATGTCTCCCAGTGCCCCATGTCTCAATGTCCCCATGTCCCCCAGCCAGTGTCTCTAGTGTCTGTGTCCCTGGTGTCTGTGTCCCCATGTCTTCAAGTGTCCCCTATTTTCCCAGTGTCCCCATGCGTCCCAGCCAGAGTGTCACTGGTGTCTCCGTGTCCCTAGGTCTCCCTGTGTCCCCAGGTCTTCCAGTCTTCCTAGTGACATGGGGACACAGGGAGACATGGGGACACAGGGAGACATAGGATCACTGGGAGAACTGGGGACACGACACTAGGGGACACTGGGAGACATGGGGCACTGAAACACTGATACATAGGAACACTGAGACCTGGAGTAATCAACACATGGGGGGCACTGGGAGACATGGGGCCACTGGGAGCAATCCATCTGTACAGCAGAATCAAACTAAGTAGTTTTTTGGTGATTTTACATCATTTTCTCTTATGTCACTCCTTGTGATTTACATCATGTGATGTCACCCATACATATTTAATTATGCAAATTAGCAAGGCTGGTATGTTTTTCCAAGAAAAAGGCAACCCTAACTACTTTTCACATACTCTTACTTAAGTATGGACACTTAAGAGGGATGTATGGGAACAAAACTTGTGTTGACTGACTGACAATGAATATAGTTAAAGGGACACTATAGTCACCAGAACAACTACAGCTTATTGAATTTGTTCTGGTGAGTAGAATCATTACCGTCAGGCTTTTTGCTGTAAACACTGTCTTTTCAGAGGAAATGCAGTCTTTACATTACAGCCTAGTGATAACTTCAGATGGCTGTTAGAGATCCTTCAGATCCTTAGATGGCTGTTAGAGATCCTTCCTGGGTCATGGCTGCCTAAAATGCATCCAAACATTCAGTGTCTCCTCCCTCTGCATGCAGACACTGAACTTTCCTCATAGAGATTCATTGATTCAATTCATCTCTATGAGGAGATGCTGATTGGCCAGGGCTGTGTTTGAATCATGCTGGCTCTGCCCCTGATCTGCCTCTTTGTCAGTCTCAGCCAATCCTATGGGGAAGCACTGTGATTGGATTAGGCCACCACTTCTAATGATGTCAGCAGACTGCTTGTTTTTCTGAGTCTAACAGCATGCAGAGTTACAGCTTCAGGCTTGAATACAGTAAGATTTTGCAATATTTATGGAGGCATGAGGGGCCCAAGGGGGCTAGATGGTGGTGTTAACACTATAGGGCCATGAATTCATGTTTGTGTTCCTGACCCTATAGTAAACCTTAAAGGTAATGCTGACTTTGGTCTCTCTAACAATGTGGCATGTTCCCTTTCTTCTACACTCACTACATACAGCTTTTCTCTGTCCCAGACTGTATACCAGGAGCTTTTGCCTGCTAGTAAGAAGGTAAGGAGACAAGTGGACCAGCGAGTGCTAGGGGACAGTCCTTAGAAAGCGTTGAGCGAGCGCATCATTAGATGCATTTATGCCAAGCTCAGGGTGATGTCTGCATAGTATGCCCTTAGTTGGCCAGCTGCATGATTGGCAGGCAGCCTGACATGCATTCATACCAGGCTGGCCTTCTACTTCTTTGGGCAGACATATCCTCTTTTTGGGCATGTTCGCCCCTTTTGGCAGGTTACATGATTTGTGTCAGTGGCACTCCCTTTTACCGTGCCCATTGACTTCCTGCTTGACTGGACACTGCTGTTAGGGGTTATGGATTTACTTGAAAGATGAAAACATAAATTAGTGAGAGATTAGCCTAGGGTATGTGTTTTCTTATAGCTGCTGTTTTCTTTCTCTCCAGCACCATCTCCATCAGATGCATGATGCTTGGGAGTGTTTTACTGTTTTTGGTCGATATGATTCTGTAATTAGGCCCGTCATAATTGTCAGCACCAAGCCCACTGGGCTCTTAATCTGGCTCTGGCTCCTTCCAATCACAGAAGAAAGGATAGAAAACAAATGTTAGCATAAATAGGATTGCCCCATCAAAATTACAATGTTTTTTTCTTTATTCTATTTAGGCCAACTAAATGTCATCCTGTTCTTGTAAAAACCCAGTTTACAGCTCTATTGAACTGTCCCCAAAGTAAGTATAACAAAAAGCGATAAATACAAGTGGTCAAATATCTTGCTTGCAGGGATTTGTAAGAACTAGCAGGCATTGCTAGTAATATAGCTTACTAAAAATAGCAACAGAATGTATAAAGAATGTCTCAATTTAAGCATAATGCCCACATGCAGTAAATATAGTCAACTCATGTATTTGTAAAATAAAGGTATTTACAACTGCTATAGTTATCTATAGGAATGCTAATGTAATGCTAACAGTGAAATGGTAGAGTTAATTTAATCTCCCCTTTGACTGATTATAAGATTGATTTGACCCATTGAAATGTCCATTACTGGAAGCAGCAGGTAAGCTTACATTTTAAGCAAGCTTGCAGGAATTTTTATAAATCATCACTAACTTCTGGTAGAGAAATGTGTTCCTCTACAGTTTGTTAATCATTCCAAGAGTATAAATGAGGGTAAGTAAGGCGGCTTAATGAACTAAATTTTATTCTGCAAAGTACATAAATCTAAAAATGCTTGATTTTGGTGGTTAGGTAGTTAAAGAGATGATTTTGGAAATGTCCAAAGTTAGTATTTGGTATTTCCAAAAAAAATCCAGCCTCTCTCATGTTAAGGAGCACAGTAACCAACCTGTTGAAGATCAAGAATAATAGGGTTAAAGTCTCCCCTCAGTTTGTAAGTGAAACAGTCTTCATTAGTTGGCTTGGATATAGAAGAGTAATATTTAAAAAAAAATTGTTTTCAATATTTATTGAAGTTTTTATGGGTACAGAAAGGGGAAGGGTAATGTACATAATCAGCATATACTGTAACATATACAACACCACAACTGATATAGACATAAGAGTGATGCATAGTAGGTCGTCGCTGCCCTTTCCAAGAGGGCCACAGCTCAAGCTTACTGTCATGTGTTACATTCCCATGTACAGTTGCAAGAAAAAGTATGTGAACCCTTTAGAATGATATGGATTTCTGCACAAATTGGTCATAAAATGTGATCTGATCATCATCTAAGTCACAACAATAGACAATCACAGTCTGCTTAAACACAAAAAGAATGAAATGTTGCCATGTTTTTATTGAACACACCATGTAAACATTCACAGTGCAAGTGGAAAAAGTATGTGAACCCTTGGATTTAATAACTGGTTGAACCTCCTTTGGCAGCAATAACTTCAACCAAACGTTTCCTGTAGTTGCAGATCAGATGTGCACAACGGTCAGGAGTAATTCTTGACCATTCCTCTTTACAGAACTGTTTCAGTTCAGCAATATTCTTGGGATGTCTGATGTGAATCGCTTTCTTGAGGTCATGCCACAGCATCTCAATCAGGTTGAGGTCAGGACTCTGACTGGGCCACTTCAGAAGGCATATTTTCTTCTGTTTAAACCATTCTGTAGTTGATTTAATTCTATGCTTTGGGTCATTGTCCTGTTGCAACACGCGCCTGCTACAATACAGAGAGAAAAAAATATCCACACGAGTGCCACTTGTGGTCACCTACAACCCAGCTCTTGAGGAAATACGGAAAATCATCAAAGACCTACAACCAATATTAACAGAAGATGAGACTCTGAAAACCATTTTACCTGAAACACCCATTTTGGCCTTCAGACAACCACCAAACCTCCAACAAAAATTAATCAACAGGAGGCTGCCCACTGATGGTAAGAATGAAGAAAACGGGACCAGTCAATGCAAAAAACTTCGCTGCAAACTGTGTCAGCACATATGCACAGACAACACAGCCACACACAACAATAAAACCTACAGCATTAAAGGTTCATACTCCTGCACATCCAGCAATGTGGTATACATGATTCAATGCATAAAATGCCACCTAGGATGCTACATTGGGGAAACCACTCAGCCATTAAATGGCAGAAATGCTATTAAACACCACAAAGAAGAATCATACTGCACTCCTGTGGGACACCACTTTACCCAGCCTGGCCACTCACTGAAGGACCTAAAAATCAAAGTACTGAAAGGGGTTTTTAAAAATACCCAGGAAAGAAAAGCCTTTGAAGCCAGAATGATTAAATGGTTTAACAGCAAGAATAGAGGACTAAATATTGATTTGGGATTCCTGTCCCACTACCAACACTTTACATAAACACTCTCCCAGCATTATTTTACTATTCTGTCAGATTATCTGAACACTCTCCCAGCATTATTTTACTATTCTGTGAGATTATCTGAACACTCTCCCAGCATTATTTTACTATTCTGTCAGATTATCTGAACACTCTCCCAGCATTATCTTACTATTCTGTGTGTAGTTGGGGATATTCTGGAGAGTTTTACAGAAGCTTCAACTGTCTAAGAGTTGTGCTAAGAGCTTTCTTTTCTACTGTTACAGGTAAGATTCATCTGTAGGAAAAGGTTACTGATTGCACAAGGTTTGAATTCCTTTTGGTAATTATAAGGCATTTGATTTGATTAGTCAGTTACTTGCTATTGATTGCTGTTTAAATTAGCTATTGTTTGCAAATAAGCATAGGCCTACCCAGGTGTTAAACATTCCTAGTGGGTGGTGATTTTAGGAGTTATATAAAGGTTGTTGTCATTAGCTTGGCTAATATAGCTTAGTTGCTTCATCTAAGTGTTGCTTCTAAGTGTATAGTTGGAGATATTCTGGAGAGTGTTGCTTCTAAGTGTGTAGTTGGAGATATTCTGGAGAGTGTTTCTTCTAAGTGTGTAGTTGGAGATATTCTGGAGAGTGTTGCTTCTAAGTGTGTAGTTGGAGATATTCTGGAGATAAACTGGAGGTAATCTGAGGTATTCAGGAGGATAAATAAAAAATTAAGATTTGTTTGATTTAAATTATTCTCCTCATTGGAACGGCAAACTTAGTTCAGTGTAATAGTTGCTATGCATTTGTTTCACGTTCCACTTTTTGGAGATTTGGTTGTTGTCTAATCTGTAGACGGTTCTCTATCTTGCGGCAGGAGATTGTATTTTTGAAGTCTGAGATTTGTAAATTATCTGGTGAACAAACTCAGACTGGAACTGCTGCAAAGCCACTGCCGCAGAAACATACTAGGAATGGCAGATGGATTACTGTAGGATCTGGTAGACTTAGAGTTGTGGATAAAAGGCATTTTGCACAGTCTGTTGCTGTACATAATTCATTTTCTGCACTTTCAGAGTGTAATGGTGTTGTGGAGAGAGGCACTGAGGCTAGTGGTGTTGTGGAGACCGGCTTGGAGACTATGGTGAGGCCTAATAGAAAGCAGTTGTTATTTGGGGATTCGATCATAAGAGGTGTGGAGATGGACAATGGTGGTCTTGTGAGGTGTCTTCCCGGAGCTACTGCTCACAAAGACAGGAGACGTATCTGTAATATTGTTAAGCAAGCAAAGCAGGAAGGGGAATTGGATGTACTTGTCCATCTAGGGACAAATGACTTGGCTTGCAATGAGGTTTCAGACGTTAAGGAAGTTTTTAGTGTTTTTGCCAATGATATATGGCAGGTTACTTCCACACTGTCATTCTCTGAAGTTCTGCCTGTGCATAACACTCAGAATGACAGGCAGATGCGCATTAGGGACTTTAATTTGTGGCTTGGTGAATGGTGTCGGGAGCAAGGATTTGCAATGGTAATAAGCTCTACAAAATAGATGGTTTGCTCTGTTTGGAATGGTAATAAGCTGTACAAAAAAGATGGTTTGCATCTTTCTCAAAAGGGAACAAATGTTCTCAGTGAGCAGTTCAGAGGTTTTGCTAGGATGTATTTAAACTAGGAGGGGGGGGCAAAAGGGTGATAAAACATCAATCCAATTGTCCCCCAAAACAAGGACAGAAGGTGCCTGTAGCAAGTGTGTTAAAAAATGATAAGCTTAGAGTCATGTCTACAAATGCTCGCAGTTTAGGGAATAAGATCCATGAACTTGTGGCAATAATGGCAACTGATAGTGTAGATTTAGTCGCTGTTACTGAGACATGGTACAATGAGAAAAATGACTGGGACATAGCAATACCAGGGTACTCTTTATATAGGAAAGATAGGGAAGGCAAGAAAGGGGGAGGGGTGGCCTTGTATGTGAAGGATAGCATAAAATCTAGCCTAATAAAAGTTAGTGAGGCAAACATAGAGTCCGTTTGGGCTACGTTAGAATTTGGTAATCACACAGTAACTCGTGTAGGTGTGATTTATAGGCCCCCAGGACAAATTGAAGAGTTAGATAATCTACTAGTTGAAGAAATAGCTAAAATGACAATGAAGGGGGAAGTTATCATCATGGGTGACTTTAATCTTCCTGATGTAAATTGGAAAACAAAATTAGCTACTTGTGCCAGGAGCACACACATTCTAAACTCCCTACTGGGATTGTCTATAAAACAAGTTGTTGAGGAGCCAACCCGTAAAGAGGCCATACTAGATTTAGTGTTAACAAATGGAGATTTGGTATCATATTACTGTAGGTGAAAGTTTAGGATCCAGTGATCATCAGTCAGTGTGGTTTAATATAAGAACAGTGACTGAGTCACACCACACAAAAACAAAAGTTTTAGACTTTAGAAATACAGACTTTTCTAAAATTAGAATATGTGTAGAGGAGTCATTATCAGACTGGATCAATTTAAATGGAGTCCAAGAGAAATGGGATTATTTAAAAGTTGCATTATTGAAGGCAACAGAAAATTGCATTAGGCTTGTCAGTAAAAGCAAAAAAATTCAAGAAACCACTGTGGTACTCCGCAGATGTGGCCAAAATAGTTAAAAACAAAAAGTTAGCATTTAGTAATTATAAAAAAAAAAAAAAACTGAATGAGGAAGACAGAATGATCTATAAGATTAGGCAAAAAAAGGCTAAGCAAGTTATAAGAGCTTCCAAATCACACAGAGAAGAGAAAATAGCACAGTCAGTAAAAAAAAGGGGGAAAAAACATTTTTTAGAAACCTAAATGAGAAAAGGAAAGTAAAACAAGCATTAGTTAGATTAAAAACAAAAGAAGGAAGGTATGTAGAAGAGGATAAAGGTCTAGCTGACTGCCTCAATGAATATTTTTGTTCTGTATTTACAGATGAAAATGAAGGAAAGGGACCTCAGTTGAGAAAAAGGATAAATGAGTCATTTATTACACGTGAGTTTACAGAGGAAGAGGTTCTATTTCAACTGTCAAAAGCAAAGACAAATAAGTCAATGGGACCTGATGGAATACACCCAAAGCTATTAAAAGAGCTTAGTGGGGTACTAGCAAAACCATTAACAGATTTATTTAACCAATCATTGTTAACAGGAGTAGTCCCAGAAGATTGGAAGTTAGCGAATGTTGTGCCCATTTACAAGAAAGGTAACAGGGAGGAGTCGGGCAACTATAGGCCAGTAAGCCTTACTTCAGTAGTGGGGAAAGTGATGGAAACCATTTTAAAGGATAGGATTGTTGAACATCTAAAAACACATGGATTTCAAGATCCGAGACAACATGGGTTTACTTCAGGGAGCTCATGCCAAACTAATCTTATTGATTTTTTTGATTTTGTAACTAAAATTATAGATCAAGATCAGGGTGGTGCAGTAGACATTGCTTACCTAGATTTCAGTAAGGCTTTTGACACTGTTGCACATAGAAGGCTTATCAATAAACTGCAATCTTTAAGTGTGGATTCCAATATTGTTGAATGGGTAAGGCAGTGGCTGAGTGACAGGCAACAGAGGGTTGTAGTTAATGGAATATATTTGAAGGTTGGACTTGTCATCAGTTGGGTACCTTAGGGATCTGTACTTGGACCCATTCTCTTTAATATTTTTATTAGTGATATTGCAGAAGGTCTTGATGGTAAGGTATGTCTTTTTGCTGATGATACTAAGATATGTAATAGGGTTGATGTTCCAGGAGGGATAAGCCAAATGGCAAATGATTTAGGTAAACTAGAAAAATGGTCAGAATTGTGGCAACTGACATTTAATGTGGATAAGTGCAAGATAATGCATCTTGGACGTAAAAACACAAGGGCAGAGTACAGAATATTTGATAGTCCTAATCTCAACATATGAGGAAAGGGATTTAGGTGTGATTATTTCTGATGACTTAAAGGTAGGCAGACAATGTAATAGAGCAGCAGGAAATGCTGGCAGAATGCTTGGTTGTATAGGGAGAGGTATTAGCAGTAGAAAGAGGGAAGTGCTCATGCCATTATACAGAACACTGGTGAGACCTCACTTGGAGTATTGTACACAGTACTGGAGACCGTATCTTCAGAAGGATATTGATACCTTAGAGAGGGTTCAGAGAAGGGCTACTTTACTGGTTCATGGATTGCGGGATAAAACTTACCAGGAAAGGTTAAAGGATCTTAACATGTATAGCGTGGAGGAAAGACGCGACAGGGGGGATATGATAGAAACAGTTAAATATATAAAGGGAATCAACACAGTAAAGGAGGAGACGATATTTAAAGAATAAAAACTACCACAACAAGAGAACATAGTCTTAAATTAGAGGGACAAAGGTTTAAAAATAATATCATGAAGTATAACTTTACTGAGAGGGTAGTGGATACATGGAATAGCCTTCCAGCTGAAGTGGTAGAGGTTAACACAGTAAAGGAGTTTAAGCATGCGTGGGATAGGCATAAGCAGGCCCGGACTGGCCATCGGGCACACCGGGCAAATGCCCGGTGGGCCGCGGTGTCCGTGGGGCCGAGGCCGGCAGGGGAGGTCCCAGGATCTCCCCTGCCGGTCTATGCAGGGCCGGCACTATCCGAGCGCCGGCCCCGCTGTCTTCCATGGAGGGCCGGTGGGGAGATCAAAGAGCTCCCTCACCGGCCCATTTAAATAGACCTGCGGCTGGGGAGGGAGGGAGAGGACCCGGCGGAGCTCTATCTTGCAGCTCCGCCGGGTTCCTCTCGCGAGATCCGGCGCGTTGCCATGGCAACGACCGGATCTCGCGAGAGTGAACTCTAGCCCGCAGGCTAGAGTTCACTCACCACTGGACCACCAGGGATGATGTGAGTGTGCCGGTCCCCCCTCCTCCCAGCTACCACCATGCCGGTCCCCCCTCCCAGGCTAAAGGTAAGTGGGAGGGGGGATTTAATGCCTACTTAGGTTTTTTTTTTTAATTTCTTTATTTACCCCCCCCCACCCCCTTAGTTTTTTATTTACCCCCCCAACACACATTTACACACAGCACTCTCACACACATCATACACAGCACTCTCACACTCATCACACTCTGCACTCTCACACACATCATACACAGCACTCTCATACACAGCACTCTCACACTCATCACACTCTGCACTCACACACA